TATTATAATATACTAGGGTTAGGGTTATTATTAACCCTACTATTTCTCTCCTTGTCAGTTAGAAAGTAGCGCTAATAGCGGGTTATACTTAGCGTTTTAGTCTTAGCCGGTTAACTAAGAGCGCTTAATAAAAGCAACGCTTCGGCACTATATATTCTGCTTACTGCTCTGCCCTTATTAGCTAGGGACCGACTTTTACTTGTATTTATTTTTCTAGTAGGTGCCGTAACTATATTAATTATAATAAAAAATAATAGGAAAAGAAAATATGCTAAGAGGGTTAATTTATTTATTAGCTAAGTATTGGTTAGAATTAAAGCAGATTGATTAACAACTTATGGCAAGAAGTGAATTTCTGGTAAGATAAATAAGGCTAGTTATAAGGAAAGAGAAAGGAAAAAGAAAAGATTCTGGTTAGGTAAGCTATTAGTAATAAGAAATATAAATATAGTAATATAAATAAGCAATAAACACTAAATACCTAATTTTATATGTGTGTATAGCAGGGTATAAGCAAGAAACAAGGAAGTGAATTCAGAGGAAATAAATAAAAATGCTTAGGTGTTTTTAGAGCTTAGCCTTTTGGTCTAGGGTAAATATCGGACAAGATTTAGAGGGCTATAAGGAGGGAGAAAGTATAAGAGCTTAGTAGTATTTAAGGTTTTTATAACCAGCTAACCGTTTCTGGCTTACGGCTACGAGCTAAGAGTTAACAGGTGCCGCGGCCGGCAGGAAAGCATCAGGCTGTCTTACATTACTATTATCCGCGTTTATAATACTAATAACGTGACGGCAACGCGTCGCGACCAACACCACACTGCTAATATGCCTTAAAATACACCCGTTAGTAATATTACCGACGGTTTTTACTATCCATATAGTTAAGGTCCAAGCCAAACCCACGAATTTATTATTAGTATATACTTGCCCCTATTTATAATTTAACACGCGTTTACAGTAAATAAACAAATAATATAAAAGAATAATACCACACGAAAAATCAAAACAAAATAGCATCTATAACCCGCTTACAAGAAATATCTAAAAGGTCAGCAATTTTATCCGCACTAAATCTTCCTAACTTATTAAGCACCTTCACTAAAACCCTCTCTTTTATTATTTTAGTCCTCTCCTCCTATTACTGCTTTAAAATAGCAGCCTCTTAGGCCTTTACCACGTCTTAGCTAAAAGAAAATAAATATTAGTATCGCTATAAATAATAAGGTAAGTAAAAACCTACTAATAAACCTTAATACCTATCTTAAGTTCCTTAAATAAAGTAATATCTATAATAGTAGGAAATACTTCTAGTTCTTCCTTGTT